AGAGCCGCCTGGCAGGCAGCTCCCAGCAGCGGGGACGGGCGGCAGCACGCGGCAGGAACAATGGCGGCGGCAGGCTGCGGGTGTAGACGACCGCCTCGAACACACGAGGAGAGAGCGAGAGAGAGAGAGAGGGGCGTGTCGCGCTGCCTCTCTCATGGGGTTCTTCGGCGCCAGTTTTGCATTTCCGGGCTTTTCAGCCAATCAGACGGGACCTAGTCCTGCCCCTGCTTCTGGCCATGGCTCCTCCCCTGCAGCAGCTGCTCCCCCCCCATACACACAGAGGGGGTTCAGCGCCGTGTGGAGACACCGTTTTAAGTCAGTTTTGTCGGCTGACTCAAAGGACATTTCATGTTCGTGTAAGGAAATACCTGGTCCTTCACAGTCATAAAGTCTATCCTGAGCCCACTGTGCAGGTTGGCACTGTTAACATCAGGTCCTGAGGAAGCTTGTACTGGAGATGGGGAAGGGGAAAGGGTAACTGGCAATGCAGGATCAAACCTCCACTCCTCACCGTTGCAACTGATCTAACACAAGTAGCTGCATGTGGCTTCAGCCCTGTCCTGAACGCACCTTGTTTATCCCGTGTTTGTACCATGTGAATACCTGAAACCAGCCTAGACTTCCCTGACTAACCTCTCCTAAATTTTGCCAGATACCAGAGGTACAATTGCCTTCACCAGACCAGAATTACAGTTACCTTTTCCATCTTTTAGCTAGCAGTGGGGTGCTGGATTGGCCTGTATTTAGCAGTCCCTGCACTCCATAGGAGCCTAGAAACAACCCTTGGCTGAAGCCACTGCAGGGATTTCAGCAGGTCCTGTACTTTTTTGAGCAGCACCAGGAGTTTGGCAGGGAACAGCCCATGGTCCTCCTGTGTGAAAGGATGTGGGAATACCAGTCACAGCCCCAGATGTTGTTGTGGAAATAATCTGAATTGCAATTTAGACCAGGTCAGAGCAGAAGCAATTTATTTCTATGGCTAAAGGAGATGACAGGGAGCAACAGAGGGACAGTCTCTGCTGATGTGAACTCTGCCCAGTGGGGGCAGTTACAGAGTTTCTGTAACTTCTACAACCCATTTTTCAAAAAAACTATGGCAGATAAGCAGCATATGATCTGTTAACAGTGAATGAAATTCATCAGACAGTTCTAGGCAGTACGTTCTTTTATAGAATCATAGAATGTCTGGAATTGGAAGGGACCTTTAAAATCATTTAGTTCCAGTCCCCCTGCACAGGCAGGGACACCTCTCACTAGACCAGGTTGCTCAGAAGTCCCATCCAATCGGGCCTTGAACACATCCAGGTTCAATACAATTAATTTGTTCTGTTTAAGTGCTTCTTAACTACTGAGACCTCCAAAGACCAGAGAAAGTTGACTGTTTTTCTCCTTTTATAACTTCACTGTGGTCCATGAGACCATCAGAAGCAGCAGGACATCCCCAGTGCAAGAAGCAGAAATTAACACAAATGGAACAGCTACACAGTACAATTCTCTGTACATCTCAAATTTCCTCAACATTTTTAAGTTTACATTTTTTCTTGAAGTTAAGTCTTTACACTTCAGATTTTGGGGAATAAATTTAGAAAGAACATGTTGTCAAACTGCAATTTGAAATAGAAACTTTTTAGAAAGTTTTCCTACACAATTGTTTCAACTGACAATCCTGTCTTGTACTTGCATAGATAAGCTGTTTAGTTTGCCTAAAGAGGTGTACTGGTTGTAGATTAGTATGATTAGTTGTGTCTTAGGAAGCAAGGATTTTAAGATCTTTGTGGAGCATCAGATTCTAGCACAATAATTTGTTTTTAAATGATTTCTCATTAAAGCTGCCAATTGCTATTCCAAAGTGAAAAAATGACCATATGTAACACACCTGTATTAAAAATGCAGTGATTAAAAGTAGGCATGATGGGATATATAGGATCTGTAAACTTTTATGTATACATATTTCATACATATATCCGTAAAGTTACAATAAAAAAAAAGTTGGTATTCAGTTCCTCCTCATACTGTACTGTAAAGGTAAGTTTTAATAAATCAACTATTTGATTTTTTTAAAAATTCAGTTTTGTTTCACTTCATGTGCAGCCTTAAAATGGTATTGAGATATTTGACTTGAGAGGGAACTAAGGAAGAACTGGTACACTGGAGAACTTCTTTGGAAGGGATTGCTTACAGATGTATAGCTGCAAGTAATTTTCTCTCCTTTTATGAGAGAAATGTCATCCTTCAAAGATCAAAAAGCTTTTAAGTCATGAATAGGAAACTTAAGTAGTGGGCTCAATAAATGGCTAAAAAAATGCATAGCTGTTACCTGAGGATATGGCTAATCTCACTTTCAAATGCAGTATGTATTATTTTCATTCTATCAGCATTTTAAATTTTGGGATTCAGTTTTCCTCAGCACACTGAAATTCCTTTGTTGTTGGTAAATGGTGTCTTGATTCTCAGTCCCTAGGTTAATGTGTCACAAAATGCTTTCTCTTTTGTGATTCATACTAGGATCAATCAAGGTTTGTCTTGGCTCAATTAGCTAATAAAGTAGATTTTTGGAAAGCAAGTTTTGAATGCAGCCAACCTTTGTCCAATGGCTTTTTTTTCCTCCTGTAACTTGTGAAATTCAAAGCACATGGGTCTGGTTCCAAGTGATTTCTGCTACTGTGTTCTAACACTTGGGTTGGTAACCTGTGTTGTAGTATTTAATGTCAAGTTATGGTGCTCAAAAGAAATCAGAATGACCCTACTGACCCTCAGACATCTGAGCTCTGTAATAACTGAAGAGCTGTGTAAAAACTTTATATTTGCTATAAACTTAGCTTGTATGATAGTATTTTTCTCTTTTCATATATCCAGTATTTTCTCTGTTCTTCCTCTAGCGATGGACTTACAAAGAAGACTTGAAACTGAAATCAGGAGTAAAGGAGTTTGGAGTGGGTAACTGGGCTAAAATTTTGGTCCATGGTGACTTTAACAACCGAACTAGTGTCATGTTAAAGGACCGATGGAGAACACTGTGCAAGAATGAACAAGGCTAATTTGGACTACAGGAATCAACTCAGCTTGACCTTTTCCTATTTAAGGATCTAGTTTAGCATTTTTGGTATAATAACCTATCTTAGTCTCAGAGTGTCCAGCAATGTGTCTGTCCTAAAGCATGAAACAGAACAGTAGGTGTAAAACATTCATGTAAGCTCAGTTGTTTGGGCAATGATGACTTAAATGCGAAGCCTGGCCTTTTATTGACTCGCATGGGATGACCTAATTTCTGAAATGGGAAAATGCTTGCAGTGATTTAAGAAAGATCAGTTTTATACACAGGGGTGTTAAATTACTGTAAACATGTTTAACTTGATAAAGGCTAATACAGAGTCATGTGTTCTCTATTTTTAAAGGGTTGTATCTCACGTCAGATTGAGCTTTTTTATCACATTATTTCCTTCTGTATAATCCATTCAAATCTGGTTTGCTTTTGTTTGAACTTTTGGTCAGACTTGTCATCTTTGTCAGTAAGTTATACCAAAACATATGTATGTATTAGTACTGCTAATTATGCAGTCAGATTCCTTTTTTTTTTTTTCAGTTAAAAAATTGATACTCCATGTAATTTTATACTTATAAGTAGTAATGGTGCTGGGTTTTGTTGTTTGGGTTTTTTTTTAAAGGGTTAATTTCTAGGTGGAAGACTTAAGTTGAACCATATTATATATTGGCATAATAGCACTTTTTATCTCACAAAAGAGATGGAAAACATGGAAAATAACAGTATGATACTAGCTCTTAGCATCTATTATATTGTGTTACCTACCTTGTCTTGAGAAGTGGCTTCTCCTAGAGGGGCAGGAAAGGGAAAGCTCAAAATTGTATGGCCAAAATGGGGTCAGTAACGATTCTACTGACAGTGAGAGAGCACAGCTCATGAGATGTTTCATCTATGCTCTCCTCTCTCTGTCTGCAGTGATTGCAAGTAAAGATATTCTCTGATGGGGGTAACCATCTGTCAGGGTGTCAGTTGGTCACTGTAAATGCCCTGCTCATGAGAGACTATAAAAGATTAATGATGTACTACTACTCTTTCTCTCTTGGTTCAAATTGTGTGGAAAGGAGTTCCTCATCCTCAGAAAACCTATACTTTCCACTGTCATACTCATGTGAATCTAGTGACTTGAACTAATATATCACAGCAGTCTTGTGAAGTGAAAGCTCTTAAATTCAGATGTTTTCTGTACCTTTGTCCTTGGATAAGGTTTTTAATTTACTAGAACCTGACAAGGAAAAGCATCTGTCCAAACTGGTCATAATAAAATAAACCCCTCCGAGATATTTTTCATGTCTACAAAGGAAGATATATATTCTTGAAAGATGAAGTGTTTAGGAAGTATTAAGATAATATCTCTGCTTTCTGTATTTAAGGCCTGCTTCCATTCAGATAAAATGGTACAGTTACAAAGGTTTGTTTCACACTCCTACTGTGGACAGAACCTCAACCAGGTCACCTTCCTCATCCTTGCCACCAGACACTACGGTTTCTTCTTGCAGCTGCTAGAAACAGCACCAAGCAGTAGTCTTTAGGTTCCACAGAGATGCTGCCTGTCTTAGCAGTAAATTTTCTCAACCTTAAGGCATAATTTCTTTTCAGCAAACAGTGCAAGTTTCAGGATCTTGATAAAATACAGGCTTTTTCCTTTAGCAAGGAATGCTAGAGCAGCTGTAAACTGTACTATAGCAGGTATCTGGCAAGTGAGAAAGTGCAGTATGCAGCCTCTTTAATTCTGTGACAATAATTCAAGGTAAGTAATAGGTTACAAAACAGTCTTGCCAGTGCTCTAATATTGCAGGCTTCTCTGTTAATCATTGTACATGAGCAGTTTTAACTAGCAATAAGTAACTTTTTTAATGTTAGCCAAAGCTTTAGTAACAAAGTCTTGTTTAGGTTCATCTGTCATGAAGTTCACACTTTGTATTAGTGACATGAATATCTGAGCAGGGCTACTTCCTGAACGATGCTGGCTAGCCTTATGTCTTGATGAAGGTGGCTGAACATGAAAACTGCCATGTGGAAGAATACTTATCCACTTGTAGTATAAACAGTTGTCTAGATGAACAAAGGATCTAAACTGAAATGCGGTTTTAACTCTCAAACTTTCATTTTTATTCACCGTTACTATTTAATTGTGACAACAACTATTCTCGTTCGAGAATGTTTGGCTGGCTTACTGCTGATTAGGAGCAGTGCCTGTAGACAGGACTGTGGCCAGGAAAGAACAAGAACTTTAGGAAAAGCAGCTATTACAATTGGAAACGTTAACTCTTTAGTTACAAAAGAGAAACACGGGAATGTGCTTCTAGTGTTCTAATAAAATGATCAGTCTTAGGGTTTTGTATTGAGGCAGAGAGAATTTCACAAAAGGCTTCTGACTCCTTTAAAATTTATTTAGGCTCCAGAAAATGCAGTAGGAATATGTAGGCTTCTTAGCATTGGCATTAATTTTCATAATCCTTTTGGTTTTGCTGTTTTAAAGGTCTTCTAAACTTTTATGTAAAAATAAAGCTATGCACAAGGGGACATGAACAGTGCTCCAGCTGCCGAATCTTCTTCCAAGTTCCTTGGCACTGAGAGTTGCCAACTGCTTCCCAGTGTAAGATTTTACCACTGAAATGTGACAGTAAATGAGGAATTAAAACACTGAAAATTGTGTTTCACGTTACAAGATTGTATTGTATAACATGTCAATATTATATTTGCTTATTAATGTAAGATTTTAATTAGCTCATCTGGCTCTTAAAATGCTTTCCTAAGTATAGCTGACAGGATGATGGATTGAGTAGCTGGTTGTACAGGTATTAAGTAGTATGCATATTATTAAATGTATAGATCAAATAAAAATCTGTTCCCAATATTAAATGTTTACTTTCAACACTACTGTTCTAGAAACCAGTGGTATAGGTTTAAGAGGAGTACTGATACACTATTTTAAACCTGAAATCAGATTTGGAGTAGCCAGGGAATACTGTTCTTAAGTGAAACTGTCCCTAGCTGTAATAAAGCATTGAAAGCACTGAACTCTTATATAGGAATTATTTCACAATTTTACCTAAGTTTTAAAAGTAATTTATGTGACAATTGAAGGGGTAAATCTTCTGAGCTCTACAGCGATATGAGCCACTTCATTTTTAGGTGTAATAATGCAGCTTTTAGTGAGGCCTGGAGAAGTCTTACCTTCTGTACTGGATTTTGCTACAGAAGTGACAGCAGAAAAATGGCTTTCCTTACCCATCTGCATTATGGCCATCTCCAGAGCAACGATGCGTGTCGGCGTTCATGGCTGGAGGCTGGCAAGCCACACACACAGTATGTCCTTCCCGTAGGTACTGCATCCATCGAGCGTACGGCCGGTTTTCCAAAGCACAGTGGTGTGAAAGTGATTCTGTATTGAATTCCACACAATATCTGCTCAGCAGGA